GTCCCACAAGGAATACCAGGTGGGTGCCCAGAGCTGGCTGAACGCAAGAGAGAGGGTAGGGCATGGGAGAAGGGGCAGCGGTGGTAGTCCACCATGCAGGGCTGCCCTGGGAGCTAAGTCTTGTTGAGACAATTTTGTTCCCAAACTCTTATCACCAGTTGATCATCTGTCCTAGCCGGTTTTAAGTATCACAACAAAAACGTGAAAGAACGTTTTCTTTCCGTGAGACACAGTAGAAGTTCTGGAAGGACTCATGAAAGGCTAGCCAATGAAAAAAGGGTTGGGTGAAACACAACGGTTAAAAAAAGGATTGGAAGGGGAACAGTTGTTAAAAGTTAGAATTCTGCATCAGGCTGCTTTAAACGTGTCTTGAAAAGTTCTCTCCATGTGAAGGAACAGAAGCTGGAGACTGTACAAGTGCATTACGTGTAGATTCCACAAGAAAGTGACTTGGAAATCCACCAGCTCTGAGGAAAGCCGTGCAGAGCTCATCTCATTTGAACCGATTGCTCCTACCTGTCGTTGACAGCCCAGGCTGTGCGGCTGCCTTTTCTCAAGTCTTGTCACTTGGTTGCTTTTCCATTTTGTTCAGAATCCTCATATGTGGGAGCAAGTGCTGGCGGGAAGGCCTCGGCACAGATGTTTCTACTCTGAGAGTGATTAGAATAAAGACTTTTGTTTAGTGTGGGTCGGTCTGTCTGCGACTTGTCGTTAAATCCGTGACTAAACTGCAGTTCCTATCAAGTCAGTGAGGGTATTGATAGATCGGTTTGCTTTTTGTTCTTTTTTCCGCAGACTCTTTTCTTCCTCATCCGTATATACGAGGCTTTTATAGAAGCTGGTGCTTAAGCAGATTTTAAGGTTGTCGATAGGAATCCTCTTAACCATCCCCTTGAGGAGATGTGTGAGTAAAACCGCCTCTGAAAACAAGCCCTGACCCTCTGCTGGGTGTGCTTGGTGCGGCCAGAGGCCAAGGGGTTCCATGCTGCGGGAAACTCCTTCACCGGGTGCTGGGATTGCAGGAGAGTATGAAACATGGGAGGATTAACAATATGTTATGCTATGGGGATCAAAGTATATTTGATTCCAATAGATAAAGAATAGCGCCCCGGCTCTCCATAATAGGACCTCTCGAGGAGTGTCATTTTGAGGACTGGTCAGAGATTCTGTAACACTGGGTTAGTCTGACATTCACACCCTGCTAGGGGTGGACTTCTCCTGCCCTTAAATACCATCACCTTCTCTGAGAAGAAAACAGAAGAGGATGACAAGTAGATCCCA